CGGGACTAAGAATAATTGGCAGGCTCAGTCCTTCAAGCTGATTGGATGGGCACTACCCACGCTGGCTGCTGTCTCCACTCTCAATGGAGAATGTGTTTTCATCTTAAATACTGTATTTTTCAGACTAGAAGACGCACCTAAATTTACAAGAGGAAAACAAGAAAAAATACTGTATTTTTCAGACGATAAGACGCTCCGGAGTATAAGAAACACTTTCATTTTTGGGGAAGAAAATTGGATTTTTGTCCTTCCAGGCCCCCAGAATCACTCTGCAGTGCTCCGGACAGCACGTTTTTGCCAAAAACAGGCCCATTTTCGGCTCCCAAGCCCTCCACGTGTTGCGTTTTCCCCCTCCCAGGCCCACAGAAGCACTCTGCAGTGCTCCGCACGGCCCATTTTCACCAAAAACAGGCCCATTTTTGCCAAAAAAGAGCATGCAGAGTGCTTCTGAGGGCCTGGGAGGGGGAAAACACGACACACGGAGGGTTTGGGAGGCCAAAAACGCCTGTATTCGGTCTGTAAGATGCACCTAAATTTTCACCCACTTTTGGGGAGGGGGGAGGTGCGTCTTATACTCTGAAAAATACAGTATATAAAATATCATTATTTTTTTTATTGGGAGACATTCTGCCATAATTATTTTGGTAAATTAAAAACAAATAAAATGAATTAAAACCTCACATTCTAGAAATGTCCCAGGTGCTATTTCATAATTTTAGTTTTCTTAACAGATCAGGAATCTGAAGGAAACCTCTCCATAAGTTTCATTTTTCACAAAGCCTTCTTGCCGAAGAAGATTTGTGGCTTTCCAAACACATCATTCCGAATGACTCTGCATTCCATTTTACAAAGCTACTTTGTTGCTGTTTTTCCCTGGGTATTTTTCCATTCATCTTTATGATCTCACTACATCATCTTTAGCTAAATTCGTATTTTGTGATAATGGCTGCACATGCAGGAAATTATAAATAATAATTTCTGGCTAATCAGCAAATTATACCATGTAGACACATAGCTTGATCATATAATCACAATTAAGCAACAAATTTGACTTATTACTCCCTCTCTCTCTCTCTCTCTCTCTCTCTCTCTCTTCCCCCCTGTGTGTGTGTGTGTGTGTGTGTGTGCATACATGAACTTTTCCATTGAGAAAAAAACCCTTCAAGGTTGCATCATCATTAAAACAACACAGGGAAAATTAAAAAAAAAACAGAATGAACCAATATAAAAACATACAGGTAGTCCTTGTCCTGTTAGCACAATTGAGCCCAAAATTTATGTTGCTAAGTGAGACATTTGTTAAGTGACTTTTGCTTCATTTTATGACCTTTCTTGCCACAGTTGTTAAATGAACCACTGCAATTAAGTTGTTAAGTGAATCTGGCTTCCCCACTGCTTTCCTGCTTTCCTTTGTGACCTTGCAGAAGGTCACAAAAGGTGATCGCATAATCCCGAAAGACTGCAACCATCATAAATATGAGTCAGCTGACAAGCGTCTGAATTTTGGTCACGTTACCATGGAGATGTTGCAACGGTCGTAAGTATGGAAAATGGTCATAAATCACCTTTTTCAGTGCCGTTGTAACTTCAAATGGTCATTAAATGAACTGTTGTAAGTCGAGGACTACCTGCATAAGGTAACGTATGTATTGCATTTATCTGAGTGTATTTCTCAACACAGCTAACACTTTGAAGGGTAAATATCAAACTTCAGTTCTTGATTTCCAGAATCTCTATCTTATCTGTATTTAAGTTTGTTTTCACTCATGAAGTATGTTAATGGAACTTTCAAGAACCCCGATTGCTTCCCTGGAGTTATAGGGAAACATTGTAACAGAATTGCTGGGTGTCATCAGTCCATAGATGGCATCTTACTCCAAAACTCCAGATGATTGGCTTCATAGAGATGAACGGAATAAACAATAGGAATAAACTCTACGGAACCCCACAGGTCAACAGTCCCCCGTTGAACTGTCATTTTTATGTGAATATTATTTCACATAAATATATATTATATATTATTTGAAAGGGCAAGGCTGCTTCAGTTAGTTTTAAGGAAATATTTCTTCCACAGGTTCTCAATTATATATAGAATATATATTATTTCTCAACACAACTGATACTTTGATGCACATCACCTTCTGGACCCAACCCAACAGGAAGCAATGGAACCACTGCAAACAGAGACCAAAAAGACCAAGGGATGTTTCAGTAGGATATCGGACTACCCTCTCCTCAATCCAGCTTCAGTCAGTGGCTGCTTTGGACATCTCACAATAATTCACAGAGCAGCATTATATGAATTAGCCCAAGGAAATTGAACCTCTGCTCTTCACAACCATGCATTTAATTAAATTAATTAACTAATTAATAACAGGTTTGTGAAGCTTCTGAAAATTTGTACTTTCATGTTTATTAATGATGATTTAATATTACAACGAAGTTCAAATTGTGCTTAATTTTAATTAAGATTGGCTGAAATTTCCATGGTTTCAAGTTGATTTGTCTCAAGTACTGTAGATTAAGCACAGTCTGTCAGATCTGAAAGATGATAAAATGAACAAAATTTGAAAAGGAACCATATTTTGAAGCTTCCCTCTATCATGCTAGAAAAAGGAAGGAGTATGTGCAAGGATCATATGACCTTGCTCCTATTATGATAAACCAGAGTTTTAGCAGGTGTCTGAATATAATGTGCGATTCTATATTATGAATTAAATTTCAGACAGTATATTTGTTTTAACCAAGCAAATCTTCATAAGAAAGGGAATAACTGTTAAAAGTATAACCGGATTTTTGCAGAATTAGAGATTTGGGGCCAGGTAGATTTTATTTAAGAGCCAGTTTGGTGAGGTGATGAAGATACTAAGATAAAAAATGGAAGAGCCAGCTGAGCAACTTTGGGCCAGTTGCTCTCTCTTAGGAAGAGAGTCAAGCCACTTCCAAAAAATGCTGCCAGGAAAAATGTAGGGACTAATCCAAGCAATTGTCAGGAGTCAACACTGGTACATACCAGGGTGGATAAAAATCAATGATTTTTTTAAAAAAATTCAAAAAAATTGGATTTTTTTGATTTAAATCGGATTTTTTTTATTTTTATCGAATTTATTTTAATAAAAAACTTTGGGGGTAAAAATCTATCGTAATATAGTTTTCTATTTAAGATACATAAATAATTTAGTTTATTCAGCATGAAATGGAGCTTAGTTATGTAGCATGAGGCTGTATATTCTGCAACACTGGGACTATCGATGAGTCAACAGTGGGTCAAAGTAGCAAAGTAGCAGAGATGACAGTTGCTCTTTAAAAATTATGATTTAAATCGAGTTGATTTAAATCATGCCTTTTTACTAGTGATTTAAATCATGATTTAAATTGTGATTGAAATCAACTCGATTTAAATCAAATCCACCCTGGTACATACAAATACTGTATATACGATACGATACAGAGAGAAGGGAGGGAGAGAGAGCGAAAGACAGCCCTCCCTCTATTAAAAGTACTAATAGTAATTTAATAAATTTGCAATCCATTTCTGAGACAAAACTATCTGCAATCTTATTTAGAGTGTAATATAATATTACTAATTGGCAAATAAACAAATGTTCATGTTTCAAATAACCACCCAACTCTCCACCCCACAAAATGTATGTATTAATATGAGTTTTCAATTTGACAAATTGTTCAAACTTGAACTATCTAAGAGCAGTACTAAATAATACAATTGCTTTGGAAGCCTGCAGGGCTAAATTCCCTTCATCACATTTCCTGATTCAGAAGACAGCCTTTCCAAGTTTGAATCAACCCAATGCTTCCAAACTTCCCTTTTAGAAATCAAATGAAATACTGATGCCAACAGTAAGAATAATGAGCTCAACAAGCAAGCAGCTACTCATTTTAAAATAAAAAGAAAAGTTAACCTGTCAGAGACACTTGCAAGATGGGGAGGCCCTCTGGGTAACTATGGGACATTGCTATTTTTTTTAAAAAAAGTTCTCTGAACACTGCTGGGTGCCAAATTCCATAATTGAACAGGAAAAATGGCTTGATATAACAACGTAACAGAATTTTTTTGGCTTATAGGGATATACTGATCCATAGGACCTATTTGAATATTTAAAAATCAGAATCCAAACTATGTGCCCCAAGTATTGATTTGACAAAAATAATTTTGGACCTTAAGATCCAAGTAGAACCAGTTCCCTAACACACTAGGAGACCAAAAAAACCCCTTTATTTTCATTTACTTACTTATTTACACACACAGATGTAAGTGTGTGTGTGTAATATATATATACATATATACATATTATATATAAAAATAGAGGGGGTCAAAATTAATTCAAAAACTCAAAAAAGTTTCTGTGTTTGCTTGCTGCATAGCATTTCCAGTTCAATTTTACAGTATTTTACAAAGAGCTACCACTTCCAAAGGCTACCTACATTTATCTCTTATTTAAAAAAATGAATCCTTATTATGGCTCATGCCATTAAAAATGTATATTCTCGGCGATACCACATGACTTTTAGATATTGCCTGCAAATTTCCTCAACTTGATTAGTGCAGCCAACCCATCCTAGGCGATCAAAATAGACTCTCTCAGTCTTAAATTTGGAAAGAAGCTTAAAAAGAAGCTTCCTGTAACTCCTCAAGCTCTTGGTGACAGAAACAGATAATGCCTTTAGCTGACTCTGAAGAAAGAAAGAGAAGTTGATCAGTCACAGTTGTACAAAAAGTGCATTCCCTACAGTTTTTGCAAGTTTGTTAAAGGTTTAAAGGCCTCAAAGGTCTAAATAAAGAAGAATTGGGAAATGTTCCATATAATCCTCCGATGTCTTCACTGCATAATGGCTGTTTTGTAAGTTGTTCATTTACAAGGTTTAAAAAGATGATTTAAAAGCTGTTCTCATATTACTCCTCCAAGCATATCCCAAACACAGTAAAATCACCAAGCAACCAAGAAGGTCTTAGTTACCGGCATGACAGAAGTAACTGATGAACCTGACTGAACACAGAATGAGAGAGGAAGACTCCTGAATATATTTTCAGCACTAAGGGGCAAGGATGAACCTTCATCTTTGAACAGGTGAATATTATGCCCATACAAATAACTACATGGCATGTTTTATTGTTTGTGTTTCTTTGAAAATGAAATATTTTACAACTCTTATCTGTAAGCCTGTTACTCACACAGTTGTTCCATAGCTTTTTCTTATTTTGTTACTTGGCATTCTTCTGATTTTTATATTAGTTTTTATATTATCCTGTTTTTATATTAGGTCCACCCTTGAACGATATGTATATAGTATAAAGTTATTTAATGTTACAACATTTTAGTGGAAAAGTTGCAACTTCAGGCAATTCAACTGATATACAAGTATGTCTACTGTGCCTACATGTAAACAGAAACGGTTTCTGAAAGACTTTGTAAATTTAGCAGAATTTAGTTTACTAGTGATCAGGGTGGATAAAAATCAATGATTTTTTTTAAAAAAAATCAAAAAAATCAGATTTTTTAATTTAAATCGGATTTTTTTGATTTAAATAGGATTTTTTTGATTTTTATCGAATTTATTTTAATAAAAAACTTTTGGGGTAAAAATCTATCATAAGATAGTTTTCTATTAAGATACATAAATAATTTAGTTTATTCAACATGAAATGGACCTTAGTTATGTAGCATGAGGCTGTATATTCTACAACACTGGGACTATCAGTGAGTCAACAGTGGGTCAAAGGAGTAGCAGAGATGACAGTTGCTCTTTAACAATTATGATTTAAATCGAGTTGATTTAAATCAAGCCTTTTTACCAGTGATTTAAATCATGATTTAAGTTGTGATTTAAATCAACTCGATTTAAATCAAATCTACCCTGCTAGTGATTCATCAAGAGCAAAGTTCAGTGCAATTCACATTCATGCTGCAAACAAGGAGTTAATGCAGGGCAAGTTTAACACTGTTATTTTAAGCAAATGCAATGTTGAAATGCCTATCGAACTGTCCTCCCTTTTAAACAAACTGGATAAGGAAGGAAATTGCAAAGCTTAAAAGCTTTTATCTCGCACTGCAATTAATCTTAATAAAAGGATCGCTTTTTTTACTCAATAGATTTCTACCACAGAGGACCTCCATTTTAATAAGGAAGTCCTGCAAGCTAATGTTTAAAGTCCAGCTCAGCTTCAGGCAGAACAAGGCAAATGTTATTTTATGGAGCCATGCACCTATCAGATGGCTCTAGACAAATCTGGTTTTGCCTATTCTATAGCCTGAGTATGTTTATTCAACATTCACTGTTGTCAGGGAGACTTGCTCCCCTGGTACTTCACCCTGAGAGTCCTTCACCTGTAAAGGAGAGAAAATAGCTTCCTATCCCAAAATTAAATTTCATGAAGAAATACTGGCTCTCCCATTTAGCAAATTCCTATATGTAGCTGTGAGAACTTAGATACATATATTGATTTGTATCCTACAAACAAGGAGTTTCTCTTTTTCCAAATTTAGCACAACCAAATTGGAAGGACTGTGTTATCTATCACCCATTCCTGCTGTTTAGAATAGCTACATGGCTAATTTGGTTTTGTACATTCAACTTTCCACATGATCATAAAAAATGCAATGGAGAGGTTATATTTTATGGCTTTTTGGCCCTTCTTCAATTATGTTCAGTTATAATTAGACTGTCTCTTGCAATTTTTATAATATAATGGTTGGATTCAAATATTTTTCTATCTCCATTTGCACTAACGGGCACCCTGGCACCAATTTCTCCCTTGTTCCCACAATACTGCCCTTATCTTTCCCCCAGTACAAGAGTAACACAGCCTGAAGTAAGTCAGTATAAACATAATATTTTCCCCCTTATTCCAATACAATGCAAAGACAGTCTCAAGATACATAAAATGTATTGTGCTCTGCCAGGCGGTGACTTGAAAGGACCTATAAAGGGTGTGATCACAACTTTATTGGGCATTTCAGGCTGACCCAGGTATACTACTTCACCTCTCATCTCTAGTCAGCCTCTTCTGCTATCATTCTGCTCTTCTCTACCTAAACAGCTGAACAAAGCTTCAATCAGAATAGAGCTGGAAAGGACTTTGGAGATCTTCTAATCCAACCCCCCCTGCTCAAGCAGGAGATCCTATACCAATGATGGCCAACCTTTTCCGGACCGAGTGCCCAAAGCGTGTGACTGAACACCCAAAATGCAATATGTGTGTGGCCCTCGCGCATGCCCCCCGCATGCACCTGCATGTGCCCCGCCCCCACGCATGCGGCCCCACACACACACCTCACCACCCTGCATGTGTGCGTGGGCCCACGCACACGCCCTGCCCCCCCGCACATGCACAGTAGAGACCCGAAGACCAGCTGGCCGCCAGGAGGCACACGCGTATGCGCGGCAGAGCTGAACTGGGGCAACGGCTCATGTGTCCACAGAGAGGGTGCTGCGTGCCACCTCTGGCATGCGTGCCATAGGTTCGCCATCACGGTCCTATACCATTTCAGACAAGTGACTGTCCAGTTTCTTCTTAAAAATCTCCAGTGATGAAGCACCTACAATTTTTGAAGGCAAGCTGTTCCACTGGTTAATTGTCCTCACTTTTAGGAAATTTCTCCTTAGTTCCAGGTTGCTTCTCTCCTTGATTAGTTTCCATCCATTGTTTCTGTCCTGCTTGGCATATGAAATACTGTAACACAATCCGTAAATGTGTCTATGGAGATTCTCAGTCATCCACGTCATGGTTGTCCCAAAGGTGCGTTTTCAAGAGGCAACTGGACTTTCTGGATTTTCTTTGAAGACGTTTTGCTTCTCATCCAAGAAGTTTCTTCAGCTCTGAATCAGCTTCTTGGATGAGAAGCTAAACATCTTCAAAGAAAAACCACGAAGTCCAGTTGCCTTTTGAAAAAGCACCTTTGGGACAATCCAGAAATGTGCACTGCTCTTCAGAAGCATTAGAAGATGTTCCCTACCTAGTGTTACTAGCCCTTCAATGCTAAAGGTAAATGTTTTCCTTGTACGGCCATATCTGATTTTAGGAAGTGGTGCTCACTCATCTGAGTTTCCTAGTCGAGGGAGCCAGCATTGTCCAAAGACACTTCTGTGGTCAGGTGGCCAGCATCACTATATGCTGAAGCACACAGAACACCTTCCCACTGAAGTAGTACTTATTTATCTAGTTGCAGTTGCATGATTTCCAACTGGTAGGTGGGCAGGAGCTGGAGCAAGTAATGGAAGCTCACCCCATCATGAGGCGCTTGAGTCTTGAACGTAGGCGGTCATCTTTTCAGCCGACAAGCTCAGTGTCTTTAACCGCTGAGCCATCATGCTCTCTCCCTTCACAATTTGGAGGAACCCTTCCCCCTCCCCAAATAGCTTGGGGAATCTGTATTCCTGATGCCCCAAACAGAAATGCATCCTCCAATAAGCCACAGGCTACTTTATTAACCTCTGCCAAATATATGCTGCTATTTGGAACAAGAGCTGCTATTAGCGGACTGTCAAGCTTGCACAACCAGACTAGAATGTTCACTCCACTGCTGTGATTTTTAAGCAGGGGGGGGGGGAAAGCTTCCTTTGCCTTCCTCTCACAACCTTGGCATCTAAATGGCTTCCCTTCACCAACTGCTGGGTCCATGTACAGCACAGTGTGACATATGGATGTCAATATGCTACCACCTTGATCTGGCTGTTTCCCTGAGCAATTAACAAATTTAAATGGCCAATCAGAATTATAGAGTAACATTCTACCACTCCAGCTCATTTATATGGTAAGCATTTGCAATTTTCTTTAATTCTGTCAAGTTTTCCAATCTACTTAGGGTGGTTTCGGATCATGAGATCAGCATTACATTACTAAGTTTAAATGTCCTTGGCTGTGGCATTCTCCTTGGGCTGGTTTAGCTTTCATTGTCTGCCTCCATGCAATATCTAGTGCTCTTTCTTTCACATCAGTGCCCCATACAATTACATTTTTTGAAAGATGAGCCAGCAGAGGAAATCCTCAGAAGTGCAGAAACAGCTCCCATTTGCTAACAGATCCTTTGCTCTGCTCAACAGCCAATCACTTTGACCTGATCAGAGAAGATTTATATAGCATTAGCAATCAGGTACATTTGCATGTATGCATGCAAAAGAGGCTGGCATTCACAGGGGCAGATAGAAAGGAAGGGAAGGGAAGGGAAGGGAAGGGAAGGGAAGGGAAGGGAAGGGCCTAATTAAAATTGTATTGCTCTGTACCACCACTAAGGACTCAACTTCTTTCATTATTCCTGTTTGTTTCTTGCTTACACTTTTATTCAATTTGTGATATCACAGAATTGGAGAAAGAACAACATACAAAGCAGCCTAGATAAACTCAGTCAGAATAACTAAATTTCATTTGACCTCAACACATTCTTGCTAAGGTGCTGTTACTGCAGGAAGTATTCCTGGCTGGCCAGTGACATGATGAAAGGGAATGGCAGTAAAGCAAGGAGGGGAAACTAATCCACCTTGCCTGTAATGAGTGGCATGCTTCCTGATCAGAACAGCATCATTTGGCAGCCTTCCAGAACAGACATAATATAAGCATGTTAGGGATCAGAAATAGGGATAGCAAAGCATTATGCCAATATTGTTTCCTGCCAATTCAAGTTGTATCTAATTTCAACACAGCAGTAATGTGAAAGCAACCCCACTCTTCTTTTTTCTTGAATTATAGTGAAAAAAAGTGGCTATGGTGCTATAACAGAAGATCTAGTTAAAGTCTACCTTCAGCTGTGCACTCATGCCTTGATCAGGTTCCATTTGGATTACCGCACTGCACTCTATATGAGGCTTGAAGATCACCCAGAAAAACTTCAATCGGTCCAGAACACAGCACTGCACACAGTAACGGGGACCCCAGGCTTTCCCATGTATCACCTTTACTGCACGAACTGCACTGGTTTTGTCAGCGCAAAAGATCAGATCCACACATGAAGGTCCAATTAAACTGATTTATTGCTAATCGTGCTTATGCACAGGAATCTTCTCAACTAATTTTTTTTAAAAAAATTTGATTTATATGCCGCCCTTCTCCGGAGACTCAGGGCGGCTTACAATGCGTTAAGCAATAGCCTTCATACTTTTGTATATTTATACAAAGTCAGCTTATTGCCCCCACAAACTGGGTCCTCACAAACTAATGGTCAGCACTTGCATGGAGTTAGATAAGGGTCACCAGAATTCAAGGGTGGCTGGGTTTACTTTGCTCCTAGCTCTGTAGGGATTCTAAGTTGTTTCCCCTTTTAACTCCACCTCCAGGCTCAGCCACACCTACTCCTACAGGCTTCCAGTTTCTTTCTGAGTGTAATTCAAGGTGCTAGTCATCGTTTTTAAACCCCTACATGACGCAGTGTGGGTTATGTATGGGACTGCCTTTCCTTAAGGATATCTACTTGTCCTACTGTGTTACATAGAGTAGGCACGCTCTTTGTCCCTTCCCTAAATATTGCCACCTGATGTGAACTAGGAAGGCTGCGTTTTCCATGCCAGCCCCTAACCTTCTGAAATACTCTGCCCCCTAAAGTTTGGCCGGCCTCCATACCCCTATAGCCATGATGGCATGCAGAGCCCTCTTTGCAGGCACGCAAGCTGTTGCCCAACTCACCTGCAGCTGCGCACGTGCACGCGCCTCCCGCCAGCCAGCTGATTTTTGGGTCTCTGCTGCGCATGCGTGGAGGGCAGGATGCATGCGGGAAATGCACATGCATGCCTGGGGTGGGTGAGGGAGTTGCATACACATGCACAGGGCATGGGGGAGAGCCGTACGCCCCTGTGGCCAGTTTTGGGCCTAGCAGGCCTCCCTGCAGCCTCCTGGGACAAAAAACCGGCCGTGGCCCATTTTTTGTCCCAGGATGCTGCAGGGAGCCCTGCTAGGCCCAAAATGGGCCATGGGGGGGGGGGGCGCCCCCGCCCACGGGGGTTGCGCACGCATGTGCGGGGGGGCAGGGGGGGGGTCATGTGCGCATTGCATTATGGGTGCAGGCATGCGTGCTTTCGGAATACAATGACAAAAAGGTTAGCCATCACTGTCCTATAGCCTTCTGTAAAGCTTTAAAGATCTGGCTTTTCCCACAAGCACTAGGATAACATCGGATAATTGCACATTAGAAGGTGCCAGGTCTTTGTTGTTTTTAATATTTTAATCTGTTTAGCTTTATGGTTTTAATATGATTTTATATGTTGTTTTAACTTTTGATTGGGAGCCGCCCAGAACTGGTTAGACGTTGAGCAACTATAAAAAGGTTTTAAAAAATAAATACGTAAATAATCCTGGCCATACACACTCAGCAGCGTATATCTAATGAAACAACATATATCGTGTAGTTATTGGCATGGGGGAAAATGACGCAAGGAGTGCTTGTATGCCATCCTAAGCTTCATGAGGAAAAGCCAGAGATACATCAAACAAACACAGAAAACCATAGTCTTTGTAGATGCCATTTTTAAAGTAATAGATCTACCACCATGCAAAAGAAGAGCCAACCTGCAAATACTGGATGTCCAATTTATGGATAAATTTGATTGGTTCACAGTATCTGTTTTGGTGCAAGTTTATTGGCCCCACTAGGGAGGCAATAAACTTGCACCAAGACAGATCCTACCTCCCCCAACCCATGTGTCATCTTCTATTAGGGGAAATTACACTTCATATGCTTCCCTGGTCTGCTTAAAAATGAAAAGGCTAAATAAATAACTACCTCCTCACATCATGATAAATGTCTTAATAAGTAATAAATGGACACAGACTCTATTGTTTGTTCTGCACCAATACTACTACAATCCTAAACAAGTCTAGACAGATTTAAGTGACAATCAACTCAATAGATCTTAATTTCTGTAAGCAGGTACAAACCTGCATCAACTTTTAAAAAGCTCAGCATAGAGACTATGAAAAAAACTTGTTGCCTATGTTGGAAAGTACCAGCCTTTTAAATTATGTGAATAATTCAGATCTTTTCCCAAAAGCGGTGAAAAGGAGAAATGTAACAAAATTGCCCTGTGTAGTTCTACCATTATGTCTAACTAAGACTAGGTGCAATATTTTGGAAAAGAATGCGTCTTTTATGGGGGAAAAACCTGAGTTGATTGATATCGAAGGAAAGCTAAAACAGGTAAGATACTAATCCAGTTCTAATCATGTTTCTTGAGTAGTACTGTCAGATTTTAAATTACAACTTTGACGGCTAATTATTTTTCAGTAAATTTTCAAAATGTACTCCTTTACATTGCTTAGAATTGATTGACCGAAGTAATCTACAGATACATACATAAATAAACCTTTAGGGCACACCATATATTTCCAGCATTCCACTTCAACCAATTCATCCCCCATGATCATTGTTTCTTTGTAAAATATGACTATATTACATTTGATAAATGAAAGTGGAACAGAATTAGAGATACTAAAAATAGAGAGATCACAAATTATTTTAATGTCGAATTATTGAGGTGACATATCAGAAGCACAGCAAAAGGGGCAAAAATGCTGAAAACAAGCTCAACATTTAGAAGGTTTTCTTGAAAATCAGAAGCAAAAGATAAAATCAATTCGATTTTAAATAAGAACGGCGTATTATCTTTTTTTTAATGTTGCGTTGTTTATGTTAACACAGCTACTTATTACAAATAAGATTACATTTTTCTAGCTTGCATATTCAAAAACAACTATGGGTGCGGTTTCAAATTGCTTCCTCATTTTAATTGTTTTTCCAAATAATCTGGATCACAGTAGCAGGAATGTGAAGACATGTTTGATTTATAACTGTACTTTGTCTTGAACTGTCAGGAAAATCACAGTATAAATCTATTAATTGGAAGCACTTAAAATACATTCCACCCAGCAAGACAGATTCAAGATATTTTGGTAATGTTGCTAAGAAAAAATATAGTCTTCTGATTTACTACCCAGACAGTCTGGCTCAATAGAACTAGTTAAATAATAGTTTTCTAAGGTATTATTTTGCCAGGCGATTTTAATTTCATTAACTTTACAACATTTTTAACTTCACAAAATACAATAATGGGAAGTAATCACAAACTATAATTAAACCTGATCAACTGCAATCATTTAGATTGGGGGCGGAGAGTAAGGTCTGTACATATGAGCAGAGAATCCTAAAAATTGTAGTGGCACCCTATATAACAGCCACCAGATTGGGGAAGGATAGTTTAAGTGAACTACCTTAATTTTACATTTGAAAATATTTTTTTTATCTTGATTGTCACCTCCAACATTGGAAACTGACATAGCCTTTCAAATTCAAATATCAGTATCTCAGATTGCTACAGCTCATATAAGGTAAAGGTAAAAGCTCCCCTTGCACATACGTGCTAGTCGTTCCCGACTCTAGAGGACGGTGTTCATCTCCGTTACAAAGCCAGAAGAGCCAGCGCTGTCCGAAGTCGTCTCCGTGACCATGTGGCCGGCATGACTAAACGCCAAAGGTGCATGGAACACTGTTACCTTCCCACCAAAGGCGGTCCCTATTTTTCTACTTGCATTTTTACATGCTTTCAAACTGCTAGGTTGGCAGAAGCTGGGACAAGTAACGGGAGCTCACCCCATTACGCGGCACTAGGGATTCAAACCACTTAACTGCCGACCTTTCGATCGACAAGCTCAGCATCTTAGCCACTGAGCCACCGCGTCCCCTATAGCTCATATAGAAATTCTCTATTCCAAGTGGTATTCTGGCTGCTCACCACAGACCATGTAAGGGACCTAGGTAAGTCCATTCTGTACCAACTTCGCATAAATGATATCATTTATGTCATTAGAGAAGCCTTTGCATATACAGCTATATATGCACAGAATTCCACATCAACCAGGACCTTAATAATGCAAGGACATGGTTCATGTGAAAAATCAATGTACCTAAAGTTGCATGTATAAAAGTTCTCCTGTTGTAAACATCACTTTTGGAGTGCCAGTGGCGTGCAGGATTGTTCCAGGCTGTTCACTGGGTATACCCAATATAATGGCATCCTCTTCAGATGGTGCACACAATCATTCCACCTACTAATCTCTGGATTCCTGAGGACCATCAAGCTTTCGAACCAAAAACAAATCCTTACTGCTGAAGCACAGAATAGCAGGGGTGGGAGGAAAGTTTATCAAATATCTGTAGAAAAATATCCTAGCAGCTGCTCATTATATTTTCAATCGATTATCAGCTAACTTTACTTTTCTATTGACTATGTACATATACATACCTATGGGATATGGTCTAGGATTTGCACATGGCCCTTAGAAATCATTGTTGCATGAGGCTCTTTCCCTAGGAGATTAGGCATACAAAATAAACAAGAGATGAAGGGGATTAAGCAAATTTGGGTAAGTAGAAGAAGAACTGATCATTGTTCGAAGTGCATGCACTTTTAGTTACAGTAATTTATAAATGATGATGGCAGACGGGGTGGGGGAGTGAGATCTACAGCCAACTGCAGTTGCCCCATCCATTCGGTAGGAGCTGAGAACCTAGCTAGTCCTTCTCATGTAGCACTGAAGGAGAAAAAAGGATTATCTTTTCTGATCTCCTTTATTTCTGGGAACTGTCTCACAATCCCTCTCCCACAGATTGCTTCATTCTAGGGCAGTGGGTCTCAACCTTCCTAATGCCGCGACCCTTTAATACAGTTCCTCATGTTGTGGTGACCCCCAACCATAAAGTTATTCCATTGACCATTGAAAATATGTTTTCCGATGGTCTTAGGTGACCCCTGTGAAAGACTCCCAAAGAGGTCCCGACCCACAGGTTGAGAACCACTGTTCTAGGGAGTCCAGTCTTCAAAGCAATCCCATGTGACAATGACTTCCATGGGGACCTCACAGAGCATGCCAAACCAAGATTTGGTTAACTGGAAGAATTGACTAATCTACACAGAATGGCTGGATTAGTGTTTGCATGTTGTGCCAGGGTTTAGTAGCTAATCTATAAAGTATCATTTACAGATTACAAGCGCTTTGCTTAAACAATATTCT